GTTCGGCATCTTGTGCTTACTTCCTTGCGTACGTATGACAGCTGCGTATGACTTAAATGTATTTTCTGGTGCTTTCACTTCCTGACAGTTGTAAGCACTATGTAACTGCCTCGAGGATGCTTGACCAATTGAACACAACGTGGTGCGATCATCCCCCTTGCGCGGAGTGAGGGTTCTCGACCCCGCACAACATGATCTACTCTACAACCAGTATGGTTACCGCCAAAATAAAACGGCGGTAAAAAAAAAAACGGTAGCCAGGTTGCCGAGTTCACGAAGTGAATTGGCTTGTTTTACAACGTTGTTGCCAAGCGACGAAACCCCAATCCCGATGGCAAACACCGGGGGGGGCGGCTTGTTTTACAACGTCGTTGCCAAGCGACGAAACCCAACCCCGATGGCAAACACCGGGGGGGGGGCTTGTTTCNCCTTGCGCGGAGTGAGGGTTCTCGACCCCGCACAACATGATCTACTCTACAACCAGTATGGTTACCGCCAAAATAAAACGGCGGTAAAAAAAAAAACGGTAGCCAGGTTGCCGAGTTCACGAAGTGAATTGGCTTGTTTTACAACGTTGTTGCCAAGCGACGAAACCCAACCCCGATGGCAAACACCGGGGGGGGGGCTTGTTTCGCAACGTCGTTGCCAAGCGACGAAAACCCAACCCCGATGGCAAACACCGGGGGGAGGGTTCTCCCAGGGGGGAGATACATTTTTTCCCATCTTGTTTATTTTATTCCTTGTCATCGAACGCATTCAATAGGGCACGTCAAACCTAGTTAACCTGTGGAACAAAGAAAGTTGAAACGCTATGAGACACAAAACACCTTCCTGGAATCTCTGACAATGGACGTGTTGCCATGTTGTTGCTGGAAAACCACACGACAATCATCATCCACATGCTCCAACCAATTATCAGTGAAGCTAAACGCCCGGAGAATGTAGCATCACGCCTCTACGCGCGTGAAAGAACCCCAATGCTCGGCGAAACCGCGGAACATGCGTCTCATGCAGGAGCTTGGAATTGTGCTCAGTGAAGGTGTTCCGTTCGCTTATCGTTCCGCCCACCGTTTCCCGACACTTTCGCACCCGAAAACACGCCAAAAACAAACAGAACATCGAAGAACGCCCTTTCGGGGTGCGTGCGTTTACGCCCCCTCGAGAGCTGATCTCAGGCTTCTCTTCCATCTCCTTCCCCCCCCCCTCCTCTTCGTCCCCTTAACCGTCTTCCCCCCCCCCTCCTCCTTCCTCTCACCGCCCTCTTCCCCTCGTCGCTTGACTCCGAGACTGCTTCTACTGCGCGCCGAGAACGCTCTTGGCTGGTCTTGCGGCGCACCAGCCCGGTCTAGGCCTACGCTCCCCTCTCAGGGTGTGCTGATTGACTCTCCCT